GCTTAAAGTCACATACCTGTAACACACGAGGATCCTAATGGTCATTGCCACTGTCCTTCCTGAGATAAAACACCTGGGCATAAAAGCTTAAGTCATTTATTTGCACAAAGTTCATTTGTGTGAAGTTTTACCCTTCTAGCATTTTTTTGGCCATGGTGTTTTATGCAAATGAAACTGCTGGGAAGAAGGTATCTTTAAAATGCAAATCTGAAAGAAAATAAACAAAAATAATAGAATACAAATCTGATCTTGCGNAGCCATTCCTAGCTAAAGGGCTTTGCTTTTCTGCTCCCCCGGCCCGGAATGTTCTTCCTGTCCCTCTTCCCTTGTTACTAACTTCCCAACCATCCTGACTATCTCAGTTCCAACTTGCCTTCCGCCCAGAAGCCGTCTGGACCTTCTTAACTAGCTGCTAGGTCTTACTGTTGTAACTCTCACTGACTCATGTGTTTTCCCCTCCTAGCTGCAGTTGTATCTGTGTGGTTACTCCACCCCACGTCCCTGGAAACTTCAGACTCCTCAAGGATAGGCATCAGGACTGCTTTTAGCCATTTTCCCATTGTGGGCCCTCCCCAGCTCAGTGCTGGTGCGGGATACTCAGTAAATTTGGAAGGACGGAATGTAGGCCCTGTGTTCCACACTGGGATGAAGCACCATTCTGTTCTTCAGAAAATCAGTATGTGGCCCAGCCGGGCGTGGCTCAGCTGTTGAGCGTTGACCTAGGATCCAGGAGATCAGGGTTCGATTTCCGGTCAGGGCACATGCCCGCGTTGTAGGCTGCAGCAGATCAATGACTCTCTCATCATTGATGTTTCTCTCTCTCTCTCTCTCTCTCTCTCTCTCCCTCTCCTTTCCTCTCTCTGAAGTTAATAAAGATATATTTTGAAAAGAAAAGAAAGTCAGTATGTGAAAATATGACCTTTTGCGCAAAGAAGGGAGGAGTCCCAAGCATGTTGCCCCTCCTCACTGACTAGTAGAAAAGGAAAGATCCTGTTCTCAAAGTCAAAGAGCTCCACAGGGCAGGGTCCTTATCTGTTCCATCAAAGATAAAATGTTGATTTTATTTGACTTGGGGATTTCATTGGATTTATTTAAGCAACTGAAGTGGAAAAAGCAACTGAGGAAGTATAACTTCAACCAAGGAGGCTATAGCTTAATAATAGTTAAAAGCTCAGGCTCTGAAGTCTGACAAACTAGATTACACTACTTTCTAGCTGCGTGACCTTAGGCAAATTACTTAGCCTCTCTTCGCCTCAGTTCCCTGATACTACCCATTTCATAGTGTTGCTTTCAAGTTCAGATAAAAGAGTGACTGTCAGGCATTGAAAACAGTTGCTGGCACATAGCAAGTGCTCAGTACACATTAGCTATATTCCACCCCAGGTTACTCCGCCTTCATGGAGGTTGCATTGCCATTGTTTCATTAAGCAAACCTTTCTGTGCCAAGCACTGTGCTCATATTCGGGGTGGGGGAGGAGGAGGAGACAGAGCTCCTGCCCATAGGGAGAGTACAATTCATTCTCTGGTTCTCCTCTGCTGCAAGAGGGGTGGGAGGGATATTTCCTGGTCGCTCCTCAAGAGTTGGCCTGAGCAACACAATGTATGTAAAGTGCTTGAAGATGCTCGGAAGAAAAGCAAAGTATAATCATAGAGGGTGCTGAGAATTTTCCATATTTGAACTCTCCATTGCATTCTCTCCAGCTCCTTTTTCTGTTCTTTGTGTGTCTGGAGCAGCTCACATTGCCAATGAACTTTGCTATTCTGAAAGAGTTCTAAGTGAATGCAAAGTGCTGTTTGCATGGTCTTTCATGCTGGCAATAATGGCTGACAAAATAATGGTGATATCAAGAGCTCAGAGAAGTTAAAGTAACTTACCCAAGCTCACACAGTTAATAAACATAGTGGGTGTAATAAGTTAACAAATTGGGTTTTGAACCCAGATCTGACTGATTCTTGATCACTTCTGCCTCACAGTGGATCTTGAGCCACATGGAGGTCGTGGAGGTCTCTGAGAGTACACTGGGTAACAGCTGTTAAGCTCCTCTTTACAGGGGAGGGTGGAAAGCACCAGGCAGCGTTTGCACACACTATTCTTTGCTGTCACTTTGAATGAGAAGAGACAGATTTCAGGAGCTTTTGAGTTGGCTCAGCGCTGTTGTGTCAGACTGGATGAGTTGAAGGGGGACATTAGAGAGCATCTTAACTAGTCTTAGGACCACTGAGTAACCTAACTAAAGTTCTGTTCCTCTGTTGTGGTAGAGCTGGGACCAAACCCAAAGTGCCTAGATTTTTTTTCTCACACCAGCAGGTCTCTTGTTTCTGAAGGAGTTCATCTTGACCCTCACATCTCACTACCCCTAAATCTTCATTTTGCTAAATGTCCATGAGGCCACTTATTTACCTATATTCCTTAACTGCCTGCCGTTTTTCCTTTCTCCTGTAGCAGAAAATGACAATTCCCATAATCAAGACCATCCCAGGGAGCTTAGGGACTCTATCTGGGGACAGAGGGAGAACAGGGAACAAGGTATATTGGTTAAAAAGTGTTTGAAAAACTCTGAATTAGAGGGTGCTGTTATAGTTCTGCTCTCCCTGGAAAAAAGAGTGGGGTCCTGTTTATATCAGGCTTCCTGCCTCGGGATGGAAGAGCCAAGAGAAAAGCTGACACCAGTAGGTCATGAGGATGCCACTTGTTTAGATTTCAAACACGTTCCATTCCACGCCTCACTTAGGACCATTTGGCTGCTCTGTGTTCAAAGCCTGGACCTCATCTGGTGAATTTTCCCGACGCAGAAGTATCACTGGATTCTTTAATGTGTCAGGGTGTAGGCAGCATGGCCTCTTTTAGAAACTATGTGGACACTTTGAACTGTGTTCTTGTGAGCCAGTGTCAGAAGAATGGCATTTCAAGACTTGGTAGAGTTGGCAGAAACTTAAAAAAAATTCTGAAAAATATTTTTTATTAATTTTTAATTTTTTACATATTTATTGTTTTAAATATTTTTATTGATTTTTTTTTTTCCGACAGAGAGGAAGGGAGAGGGAGAGAGAGAAACATGGATGTGAGAGCAGAACATCAATTGGACGCCTCCTGTGTGCCTGCAACCCAGGCATGTTTCCTGACCAAGAATCAAACCCACAACTCTTTGGTGCACAGGATGAATGCCCTACCAACTGAGCCACACCTGCCAGGGCAGGAGAAACTTTTTTATGTCCTTATGAAAGCAGTGTTTTACTCTGAAGTCAGAGAGCATGTGTTTTAGTAAAAGTGAGCACAAATCTGCTTTCTGTATGTGCGCCAGGCCTCACAGGAGACCTCTCACTGGACAGCCACCCCCTAGGTAGTTGCATTCTGCATACAGTGTACACAGGGAGGCAAAGACAGGAAGAATTGTTTGCTATATTGTGAAACTCTCATTGTCAGAGTTTACAGATGCCTTTCCCATGTTTCCTTCTTCCTAAACTCTTTTACATGGGTGTAAGACTCTTTAAAGAGCAGGAAACACCTGAGGATGTGTGGTGGAAAGCTGTGCTGAGCCAGGGATCTGGTTATTAGCTCTTCTGGTCCTCTCCCTGTGGTTTCAGGTGCCTATACTGTTGCTCTCCAGCCTCTAGCCCTGTAGATAGTCACTGGCATACTTTGTTTATACTCTTGGCCAAGTAGACGGCCTAGTAAAGCCAGGCCCAGAGAGGATGAACCGACCATCTGACTTTAGTTTCCACTGGCAGGCATGCCCGGATGTGTGCTGTGGGCAGGGTCAGCCTGAGTAGCAGCAAACACGAGACTGTGGTTTTAGTTTCTTTGCTGAGCAGGGCTTTTTCACTTTTAACTCTGAGCTTCTTGAGGATAGGGACAATCCTTGTATATCCCTCATAACCAACCCAGTGCTTGGCACAAAACAGTGTCCAGTAAATGCATGTGTTGCTTCTTTAAAGGAATGTTGAAAGCCAGATAGAGGTGACTTATAGGTCTCATTCTATACATTGTGGTCCAGAGAACATTTTGGGCTGAAGTTCAGGTCGGCTTGTGGGGTATTTCATATTTTAAGTATGAAATGTAAAAAAACCCTTTTCACTTTCATCTCTGTTCCCCAGCGCTGTGAATAGAATTTGGCGAACTGCTAAATGGTTACTCAGCAGTGCCCTTTCTGTAGCTGACCCTGACAAGGGACAGGATGAATCCTAGATCCAGTCAAGATTATTAAGAGATCATTCGATAAGCAAAAAACGATCTAGCAAATTGAAATTGGACTAGGTCACTTGAACAGGTCACCCCTTTTCTTAAAAGTGAAGAATTTAGCAGCAGGTTTTTTAGCTCTCTTGAATCACTATAATTAACCTTGGAGATCTTGTGTTTTGAAGGAAGGATGGAATGACTGACTGGATGCTAATCCTAGAATATATACTGCATTAATTATTCCAGGAACTTTCACAGAAAAGCCGATTTTATTGAAAACTGCTAATTAGTGGAGAAGCATCACCTTGTAACCAGCTGAGTTTAAATAACACTGGAACACCCAGTGTTTCTGCTTGGATATAAAGAAAGTGGTGTAACCCTTTCCTGTCTGAGGAGAACCTTGCTCTTTGCCAGTCAGCTTTGTGTGCTGAATCCTCTTCTCCCTTTAATTTTTTAAAAAATGTGGACATTAAAAAATAGGTATTTATTTTAAAGAGAGAAGAATGGGGGGGAGAGAAACGTCAATTTGCTGTTCCACCTATTTATGCATTCATTGTTGATTCTTGTATATGCCCTGACCAGGGATCAAACCCACAACCTTGGTGCATGGGGATGATGTTCCAACCAACTGAGCTACCGAGCCAGGACCTCTTCTCCCTTTAATAAACCATTTCCCCCCTTAAATCTGCTGTTCTTTCTAATATTTTTTTTTTAATGGAATAAATATTGGTACAAACATTCGGGTGGAGGGTGAGCAGATGGGCAAAAAGAGGGGGTTGAGAAAAAGTTTAACATGCTAATTTTTTTTTAATTTTTTTTTTAGGATAAGGAAACCTGTGTGGGTACCAACAATCAGAGCTACATCTGTGACACAGGACACTGCTGTGGACAGTCTCAGTGCTGCAACTACTACTATGAACTCTGGTGTAAGTCCTTGCCTGGAGGTTTCGTGGACCCCAGGGTGCTGGTTACTGCCTCCGGTTATTAGAAACCGTGGACTGGTCAGCCTTTCTCTTACTCTCTCGGGGGGCACTGTTGGCAAGTATAATCAGTTTCCAGGTTCCAGAAGTGATTCCTCTGTAGAGGACGACCACTCTGATGCTCTTTGCACATTGTGGGTTGAAGACTGAAGAGTATGGTCTGAACCTTCTTAAGAGGCTGTGGTGCCCGGTCTGCATGGCTCAGGAGATCCCGGTTCGATTCCTGGTCAGGGCACATGCCTGGGATACGGGCTTGATCCCCAGTGGGGGTATGCAGGAGGCAGCTGATCAGTGACTCTCTCTTATCATTGATGTTTCTATCTCTCTCCCCCTTTCCCTTCCCCTCTCTGAAATCAATAGAAACAAAACAAAAAAAAAGAGGCCAAGTTTACCAGGTCTGCTGCAGAAACTCCTGCCTGGGTTCTCTTTGATGCTCTCTCCAGTATGTGCCCATCAGTGACAACCACTTAGATCTTTCCACTGGCCATCCCAGACTCCCAGGCTTGCCATCTTTTTGAAGAGAAATTGCAGCAGCCAAGCTGCTGTGAGCACCGAGCTGGGCTCTGTGAATGGCTGTAAATCCATTTTTATTTTTATTTTTTTTTTTATAAGAACAAGGTTCTAGAATTCCCCGTGGAGCATCAAGGAGCTGCTTCTGTGTCTAAAGGTCTCTGTCAAAGGGATAATCTTTCTGTAGTTCCCTGCCTACAGAGCCCTCCTAGAAAGAGGGAGGCCCCTGTGCTTATTCCCTAGCTGGAAAGTTGAAGTGTCTGGAGGCTTTTACAGTGCACCTAACTTGTTACTGTCAGCTAAATGCCCTGTGGAGACAGTCCTTATCTTGCCACTGGTTTGGTTGAGGCCAGGACCACTTGTACCTTCCAGAGTTGCACAAGGGTAGTGACATTACTGTGGTCTTCAGGGAGAAACCCAAGCGTAAAGACTTCACTAACACACTTTGTACTCTGATCCTCATGGTACTCAGATGAAACACTATAGGATGCTCCATGAAGAACGGGAGGATGGGAGAGTCCTTGGGGCAGAGAATCTGCGGTGACTAGCACTGCAGTGGTTTACACAACCGTCTACTGACAGAGGAAATGATAGACTGTTTCCCCAAATAATTCTAAACACCCCCTCACTCCCTCCACTTGGAAATGAGCTTTGGGCTTGTCAAACCATTCCCTTATTGGCACCATCACCCCTGCTTCTTTTTCCCTCTCTCCTTTCTGATTTTCCTATTCCCCCCACATCAGTGATATGGTCAGAAAGCAGCTAGAAGGGGTATTATTTGGTATGGAGAGGAAATTATACACTTGGCTGGGAAGACTGTCCCTCTAAATGCAAATGCATCTTATAGCCAGTGGGAGTGGTTCTTACAAACAGGACCTCTTTTTGCCCTGTTCCTTCCCCTTTCAGGACTGAGGACCTACTTGTCTGCCTTTTCTGAGGAATCCCAGGGGCAGTCAAGGGCAGACTCCTTCAAGGAGAGGACAGGGCTCAGGAAACCCCACTCCCCATTCCTTTGTGTATAAGCAGCCACCGAGAAGGCCCAGAATTGATGTTGCTATTTTAGAAGGGGTGGGGCCGAGGGACTTACTGGAGAACGCAAAGTGCCAAGCAGGTGGGCAGATTCTGTTTAAATGTTTTAAAATGCAGATAACCACAAGGTTCAAATTCTCCCTCCCACCCCTTGTTAAAACAAAAGTTGAAGCTGGGTTGCCAAAAAGCCGCAGAGCTGACAGTTTGTTTTTCTGGGGCCTGGCCCAGGTGCAACAGTTGCGGAAAGGGATGGAGTTGATGGCCCCATCTCAGATTGACAGAGCCTCCTGGGCTGTTGGCAGAGCAGACTCAGTAGCCATCAGAAGTGGGTCACCAAAGCCAAGGCAGGGTGGTGGGGTGGTGGGACAGGGAGACCCAGATGGCAGAGAGGCATTCTGGGAACCAGGTGCTTCACCCCAAGGGCCTAAAAAAAGCCAGAGGAAGAGTTGCATGAGTGGCCGATTATCTCTCCACTTACGGTCGGCTGGGAAAGGGGAAGGCCAGACAGAAACCAGAATCTGGATGAGGAGAAGAGAATCGCCATTATACCAGTTGGGCCATACTTTTTAAGTCCCGCAGGGAAGGAGATTGTAAAAGCAAACCTTTCCTCTCATCTGGACCCAGAAATGGCTTCTTGGTCAGGAGATGCCCAGTGAGTATCCTGTGCCTCTGAGAATTCTTTAGTTTTCTTCCTTATGAGGGTCTTGGCCTCCGCTTGACGTGTATAGAGAGAGGTTGAGTGTTGGAATGAGCCCTTTGCATTCTCATCAAAACTGCACTTTTTGTGGCCTTAACTCTGTTCCCTCTAATTGTCTCTAAACTGCCTAAAATGTGAAAGTAATGGGCTTTGGGTTATTCTTTTTGTCTCTTTACTTTGGAAGGAAAACAATCTCATCCAGGAAATCCTTGGCAGAGGGCCTCAAGGGGGAAAAATGCCATTTGCACAACCCTTGTACCTATACTAAGCTGAATTTTCCTGTGTGCTGAGGCCTATCTCTCTCTCTCTCACACACACACACCACTTTACATAGACACACAAGCACACGCAGACCTTGAGCTTCAGCCAGCCAGCACCCTTTCTCCCATGTCTTTGCAGTCTGTTGTGACTAAGCCAATAGTGATTACTGGGCCTGCATCAGACAGGAAGTGAAGGTGGTTTTCCTAGTGCAGTGGCTGAGGCTATAGGACCTGGTCATTATTATTATTGTCAGCCCTCACATTTTTATGGCACTTGCACTTTACTTGTCATTCAATCATTTATTCATTCAGCAAACCCTTATTCCATTGGTTCTTGAACTTTGGCAAGTATCTGAATTTCCTGGAGGATTCATTAAAACAGTTTTCTGGGCCCTACTCCCAGATTTTTTTAGTCAGTGGGCCTGAGGTGGACCTGAGAATTTGCAATTCTAACAAGTTCCTACTGGATGCTCTGGGCTCTTCTGTTAGAAACTGTGAGCAGATACAATCCTTGCCATTAGAAAGGGCATCTCAGCAGAGAGAGGAGATAAGACCAGGTGCCTCAGTAGTAATTGCAAAGTAGAGAGTGGAATATATTTGCCAGAACTGCTGTGAGTGTCCCAACGGAGAGTTTGCTTTGGCTGGACAGGAGTCTGGCAGGCTGTGTGGAAGAGGTAGCATTTGAAGAAAGTCTTAAAAGGTAGATAGGATTTAAACACACGGACGAGGGTAGAATGATTTTCCAAGTAGAGGAGCACACCACCATAGACCAAGGCCCCATGAGAAAACAGAGTATGGATCATATTGTTAACCTTTCCCCTGGGGCGTGACTGGGTAGAAATGGGTGATAACAAGGGTGCTAATGTGCATAGAACTCTCCTAGTGCAAGGCACTAAGTTCTTCATGCACCTCACCTCATTTCACCTTAAGAACATCCTCCTAGGTGCAGATACCACCCCCATGTCTCTGGACCAGGAGTATGCAGCTGAGTAGTAAGGTCAGTGCTCCTCACTCCAAAGCCTTCCAGAATACCAAGTGCTAGTCTAGAAGGGTGATGGGCCCAGGTCATGGAGGGTCTGGAATGTGCATGTTTACTTTCCACCTGAGGATGCCCTTCATGGAGCAGAAAGAGAAAAAAATCCAAACCTCAAGACCTGGGGAGGCCAGGGACATAGTCAAGGCCAAAAGCCTGAACCTGGACCTCCCAGTTCTCATCCCAGGGCTCTTTCCACTCACCCAGCTCCATTTTCCAGAGAGAGGTCAGAGTTGGGAATTTCTGCTCCTGAGATCATTTGGGTGAACTTCAATCAGGCATCAGTTTCCCCTGTTTGGGCTTTAATGAGGGACAGGGGAGTGTTTCTAGACTGGAATTTCCCTGAGATGACATGAAACAGATTATTAGCAAATCCAGTTAACGCTGCTCAGCTTTTCACCTCCTAATATTTTTTAAATAGTTTGTCTTAAGAAACTCGTTGTTGAGCTGCTCTTAAGGAAGGCCCACGGCACTTGACACACTGAGGAAAGTGGAGAGCGGGGAGCTGGGGCCTCCTCATGCCCTGACTTGGACCCCCGTTCCCTAGTGGTCTGGGCTTCAGGACAAAGGCAGGTTGATGAGTGCAGGCGGGTTGGTTTTCCAATGAGTTTAGCCTAGAATAGGACCTAAAAGCAGACTTTGGAATTGTTCCTTACTCTCGCTTTTTAATGGATAAAAAGGGAAATTTAAAGGAAACCCTTCCCATTGGTGGCCATGCCTGTACTATAACAACAACAGTAGTAATAATAAGCTGGAGAACTTACTCCATACCAGGCATAGTTCTGAGTACTCTGCGTATATTAGCCAATTTTCCTCATAGTGACCAAGTAGGTAGAGAGCATTATTCTTCCCATTTTACAGATGAGAGAAGTAAAAAAACTACCTAGTCATAAAGCCAGGAAATGGTTTTGTGAGTTGGGATTTGAACTCAGGTTGTCTGCCTCTCCTCTTTTCTATTTGTAGTCATGCTTATAGGAAACTTGTTTAGTGTTTCAGATAAAGTTGCACATCCTCTGAAGTCTTCATTTCCCAAATTCAGACCTTTTCTGCAGTGACAATGGCAGGAGCTCCTGCTGAGAAGTATAAGGGGCCCAGGAGGTCACCCATCATTCTATAAAAGGAGAGCTAATTTATAGTATGCTTTGGCTTCTTAATGAGGAAGTTCCTGCCAGTTGGGGAGTAGTGTTTTCCCAAGTTTATTGTGAACTCTGGGGCACATGACTCAGTGCCTACGTTGGACTCATTGTTTTTAAAAACATGTTTCCATTTTGCTTAGCATGACAAATGCTCCCCACGTGAGGTCATAAATTTCAAAGTTGTCAGTGGGGAATTTAATCTCCGGGTAGGTGTGTGTTTGGGAGGGAGGGCATACTTCTGTCTTTCGCTGTGTGTCTCTTTCATTAAGTTTTCCTTTTTTAAGCTCTTCCTTGCTTGTGAAATCTAGCAGTAAGATCAAAAGTTGGCCCAACTCCATAGAGACTAGTCTGGATATTCCTCCTTTTAAAGTTAATGGGACACTACTTTGACTAGAATGCCTCCTAGGAGGATCTGTTTTATGAGGGTCAGATAAGAATGCCTTCTACCTTCCATTAAGTGGGACCAGCCCATTAGGGATCTGTTCTGGACCTTCACTTATGCTGCGTCATACCACTAGACCCAGCCTGCTCCCAAGTTAGTTTTCCCCCAGGTTTGAGCCACACCATAATCCAGTTGTCTCTTTTCTTCCCCCAGTCCCTTTTGACCTAAATTTTCCTTGTTGTTTTTTTTTTTTAAAGCCCTTTTTTCTATCATACTTCTAGATCAGTGGATCTTAGCCTTTTTCTGGATCAAGGATCTGCTTAAGAATCTGATGAACCCTTTAAATCCTCTCGCCCAGAAAAGCCTATAAACTCACTGCATCAGTCAGGATAGCCTAGGTTATGCTGCAGTAACAAGTCCAAAATCCTAGTCGGCTAAAACAACAGGTTTACTTCTTACACTATAGCATGTGTGTCACTTTGTTCCCACTTCATCATCCTCTGGGACCAGACTGACCCTGAAGTCACTCTCTGGAATGTTGCCAATTGCCATGGCAGAAGGAAGATTCATGGAGGGTCTCATATCAGCAAGAAATGGTCATTTCCAATCCCAATTCATTAGTTAGAACCAGTATCAAAGCCTCATCCAATCAGAAAGGGACCAGGAAGTTCAGCCTACCCACATATCTGGAGGGGGGAAAACCAGAAATATTTAGCCAGCATGAAAACCAGTGCATGAGATTTTTTCTATTAAAAGCATGGATTGTTTGGTTTTTTTAAAATTATTTTTTAAATACGTCTTTATTGATTTCAGAGAGAAGAAGGGAGAGGGAGAGAGAGAAATATCAATGATGAGAGAGTCATTGATCGTCTGCCTCCCACACGCCCCCTCCTGGGGATCGAGCCTGCAACCCTGGCATGTGCCCTGACCAGGAATCAAACTGTGATCTCCTGTTTGTAAACCAGGAGATGGTCAGCCACTGAGCCACGCAGGCTGGACTGGTTTGTTTGTTTTTTAAAGCATGCTATAAGAGCTGAGGAACACTGCCTTAGATCATATATATTGCTGCATGTAAGTTAAAAGTTGGTTTACCTTTAGGTGAGAAACTACTGAAAAAAATGACTTGGGAAGTAAAAATAGTAGAGTTAAATGTTGATTATGTAATGGGAGAATGTACTTTCTAAATCATCAAGTAACACAGAAATACGGATTATGAGGTTATGCTGGAAAAAGTAAGAGAAGTATAGGTAATGTAATAAAGTGTTCAGCCCAGAATCTTTTCGACTTTGAAAGACATTTAGAGTCAGGCTCTTCAGCAGAATGCACTGTGCTTATTTGTGGTGCTTCCCTCCAGTGTGGTCCCACCCTAGGAGGCTGGGAGCTAACTAGATTGATCTGGAGGAGATGTTACAGGAGGCAGCAGGTTGCCAGCTCATTCCCACAGCTTTCTTGCCTCAACACCATCCTCTGAGGGTTCCTTTAACAGTGTCTGTCTAGTCTTCAGTCAGCCAGGAGCAGGAGAGAGATGTAAGTTTAATTAAGCAACTGTCCAGTATTTAATCTGGAGAGGGAAGGGAGACTTCTAACGTCAACTTAAGTTTATGTTCTCTGGTTAGGAATGAGGTTTTTCTGTCTGCTGATGGGAAAAGAGGAAAAAGTCCTCCGCCCATTGCCCTCCGCCTGTTCTCCTGTTGCCAGTCCTCCGCAGAAAGTTCCATTGCACGTACCGCAAGCAGTTAGGTGCCACATAGCTTGCCAGAGCCTGGCAGCTGTACCACCTTGCAGTCTCACCCTGTAAGGGTGGCTTTGTGGGGCAATTCAGTGGGGACCCCCTGGGGTACAGATAGAGCTGTTGCCAGAGGCCACACCCTAAATGTCAGTGGAATCTTTCAGAATATTGTGTTCTGGTACAAAGGGGGGGGGGGG